TGTAGATAAAGGGGGGGGGGGTGTCAGACCTATAGATTGTAGATAAAGGAGGGAGGGGCAGACCTATAGATTGCAGCAGGCTGAGGGAAAATGTTTGCTGTGATGTAGTTGAGAAACATGAAAGTGTGTGGTGTGTGATGTGATGTGTGGTGTGTGATGTGATGTGTGATATTTGATGTGGTGTGTGATGTGTGATGTGATGTGTGGTGTGTGATGTGTGGTGTGTGATGTGATGTGTGGTGTGATGTGATGTGGTATGTGGTGTGATGTGGTATGTGGTGTGATGTGGTGTGTGATGTGGTGTGTGGTGTGTGATGTGGTGTGTGGTGTGTGATGTGATGTGGTGTGTGATGTGTGGTATGTGATGTGATGTGATGTGATGTGTGGTGTGTGATGTGGTGTGTGATGTGGTGTGTGATGTGATGTGATGTGGTGTGTGATGTGGTATGTGATGTGGTGTGTGATGTGGTGTGTGGTGTGTGATGTGGTGTGGTGTGTGATGTGATGTGTGGTGTGTGATGTTGTGTGTGATGTGTGATGTGGTGTGTGGTGTGATGTGTGGTGTGTGATGTGGTGTGGTGTGTGATGTGGTGTGGTGTCTGATGTGTGGTGTGTGGTGTGATGTGTGATGTGGTGTGTGATGTGATGTGTGGTGTCTGATGTGATGTGTGGTATGTGATGTGATGTGTGGTGTGTGATGTGTGATGTGATGTGATGTGATGTGTGATGTGATGTGTGGTGTGTGGTGTGTGATGTGGTGTGTGATGTGATGTGTGATGTGATGTGTGGTGTGTGATGTGAGGTGTGATGTGGTGTGTGATGTGATGTGTGGTGTGTGATGTGATGTGTGGTGTGTGATGTGGTGTGTGATGTGGTGTGTGATGTGATGTGATGTGTGATGTGATGTGTGATGTGATGTGTGATGTGGTGTGTGGTGTGGTGTGTGGTGTGGTGTGTGGTGTGGTGTGTGATGTGGTGTGTGATGTGATGTGTGGTGTCTTATGTGATGTGTGGTGTGTGATGTGATGTGTGTTGTGTGATGTGATGTGTGGTGTGTGATGTGGTGTGTGATGTCTGATGTGATGTGTGGTGTGTGATGTGATGTGTGGTGTGATGTGATGTGTAATGTGATGTGGTGTGTGATGTGATGTGTGGTGTGATGTGTGGTGTGATGTGAGGTGTGTGATGTGGTGTGTGATGTGGTGTGTGATGTGGTGTGTGGTGTGTGATGTGGTGTGTGATGTGATATGGGGTGTGGTGTGTGATGTGATGTGTGGTGTGTGATGTGATGTGTGGTGTGTGATGTGATGTGATGTGTGGTGTGTGATGTGGTGTGTGGTGTGTGATGTGATGTGTGGTGTGTGATGTGGTGTGTGATGTGGTGTGTGATGTGATGTGATGTGTGATGTGATGTGTGATGTGATG